CCCGAATGCAATTTGGAAATTCGGATCCCGAATGCCATTCGTGTTTAGGAGCCTCAGCTTTAGTATAGAAAAAGTATCGGTAATTGGTATCGGCGAGTACTTTAAAAAAAGTATCGGTACTCGTACTCAGACCCAAAAAAGTGGTATTGGTGCATCCCTAGTATATACTGTATATGGCTCCCATGTTGCCATAACATAAATTTGTGTTCAGACCCATCTGATTGGCCAGAAAAGTCGCATGTCCGAATGAGTTTTGTTTTTGAACGAAATTCGGACAGGATCCGAAATTCAGAAACGGAAATTCGGATTCGGACACATTTGGATGCATTGGGATTCAGGGGTAGCAAGCAGAATAGAAAAAATGACATGTAAAGCGCTATTGTAAATAGCCCATACAGCAGCCCTTCAGTTCGAAGGGCTCCAGCGGCCAGAGTGAGCTGAAGGATTAGCCGAAGCTACGGCTAATCCTTCGGCTCTGCAGTGAATAACTTCTTAAGTGTTTGGACAAATATTTAAAGAAATAGTTTGCTGCGCAATGTATATTTCTTTGATCTGGAGTCATAAAAGATTGAAAGTTTAACACTACTTTAAGTAGAACTGTTTGCAGCTTGGAAGAACATGTGGGCAGTTAAAGAAGAACTCCAGGCTGAATTATTCTTAACCCTTGCAGTGGGAAAAAAATAAAAAAAGTTATACTCACCTGAACCTCACAGTCGGCTGGCTCCTAAACTGGTCACAGTCTCTTCCCCTCGACTCCAGTGGTCTAAGGTGAGTCTTCATATCCTATACAGTGCATAGGACATGAGGACGCCAAGGGACATTCCATTGTTTGAGCGGAGGAGACAGGCTGAAGGGGCCAGTCAATCAGCCAGCTGACTGTGAGGTTCAGATGAGTATAACTTTTTTTTATTTTCGTTCCTAGACGAAAATGAGCATTTAACCCTTTTAGTGTGGGAGTAGCCCAACTGCAAGGATTAAGAAAAAATTTCAGGCTAACCGCTAAATACACAGATCAAATGCATATATAGGAGTTGTTTTTCCTGACAAAGGATTTTTTTTGTCTGTCCATCCAGTCCAGAGATTTACACAGCTTTCCACACAGCTTTGCTCTCTGACAGAGCAGGAGAGCTGATTTTTTTTGGTGCTGCAGTTCAGTAACACGTACAGGTCTCTCCCCCAGCCTGTGATACGACAATGAAAGGAGAACCAACAAACTGAGGAGCTCATCTCTCTATCGCTCTTCTCTCTCCCCCTATCAGCATTTTCTTTAGCAGATGAGATCTAAAGCACAGCTGACTGGCTCCTTTTACTGCTTCTCCCTCTACCAGCTTGAGCTCTGCTGTATAGTGGGTTGCAAGAGGCTGATACCAAGTCAAATTCAGATACTGAGGCCCGATTTACACCTATATATTTAGATGTGATTATGGATTCCTGTGTGAAGAATTTGCATTTTCCTGCAGCAGGAATCCCTAATCAGGTATTTACAAGCAGCAGCTATCACCCATTCAAGTTAAGTCGGATGACAGCAGCTGTATTTGAACGCATGTGATTGTATGTGATATGATAACATGTGGTTAGGAAGCAATCACTCTCACTGGATGCACAATGGATGCATCCAGGGATAGTGACTGATTCCGAACTGCATGTAATTGTATCACATATGATTACATGCGGTGTGTCGGCGTTCAACTGCAGCACTGTAACTTGAATGGGTGACAGCTGCCGCTTGCAAACACCAGATTAGGGATTCCTGCTGCAGGAAAATGCAAGTTCCTGATACAGGAATCCCTAATTGCACCTAAAGATATAGATGTAAATGCGGCCTTACACTGCTTGCACTTTAAAAAATTCACCTTTTATTATTATACAGGATTTATATAGAGCCAACAGTTTGCTCAGGGCTTTACAATATAGGGAAGACATTACAATCACAATGCAATTCAAAGCAAGATGGTAAGAAGGGCCCTGCCTGTGAGGGCTTACAATCTAAAAGGGAGGGGCACTGATACATGAGGAGGTAGCTGTGTGGTGATGATTGTTTGAGACAGTGAAATTTCAGTGGTCAGGGTGAGGTAGGATAGGCTTCCCTGAAGAGATGAGTCTTAAGAGATCAGTGTCAATGTGGGACATAGACGGACAGGTTGGGGTAGAGAGTTCCATAGGATGGGAGAGACTAGTGAAGTACTGGAGGCGAACATGGGAGGAGTTGACGAGGGAGCTGGAGGGGGCGGTTAGGGTGATACTTTGAGAAGTGGTTGGAGAAATATTCGGGGGCAGAGCTGTGGATGGCTTTATAAGTGGTTGTTAATATTTTGAATTTTATCCTCTGGGCGAGTGAAAGCCAGTGCAGTGATTGGCAGAGGGGGGTTGCAGACACTAAGCGGTTGGTTAGGTGAGTGTGTCTAGCAGCAGCATTCATGATAGATAAGGCCAATGAGGAGGGAGTTGCAATAGTCAAGACGAGATATAACAAGCAAGTGGATGAGTAATTTTGCGGTTTCATTGGTGAGGAAGGGGCTTATTTTGGACATGTTACGAAGGTGAAGGCGGCAGGATTTGGATAGTGATTGGCTGTGGGGAAGGAAGGTGAGGTCTGAGTCAAGGATGACACCTAGCACCTTGGCATGAGGGGATGGTTGGATAGTTGTGTTATCAATCTCAAGGGAAATGTTGGGGCGGGAGGAAATATCATGAGCTCAGTTTTTGAAAGATTGAGTTTTAAGAAGTATTGTGACCTAATGATCACCTAATAATATATTAATGAATACTGAGCTGCATGTATTTATGTCTACCTGGAGTTCAGCCTAAATGTTGCCTACCATATACTATAAATAAAGAAGGAGTTTCAGTATAATTTGTATTCTAACAAAGCACCAAATCAAAACTGAAGGATGTCTACACTATCAGTATGCACCGTAGGAAAATTTTGCCGTAAACATGTTGACATTTCTGAGAGGCTCACGCTGTGTGAATAAAAAAAATCACTCAACTTTTTGTCGCTTCAATCACAGTAATTGTTTTTCCTTTATAGAACACATTTTAGTCACTGAGTACATTTTTATAGGAACATCCGAATCTCCGAATTTCCGAAAATTCGTTCAAAACGAATTTCGGAACGAACCGAATCGCACATGTCTAGAACAGTGTCATCTGGCTGCCTCCAGGAAGGGCCAGTTCCTTCTATTCTTATACTAAAGCTATTGTACTAACATAACAGCTGTCCCTAGATATTGCTACTCAGAGCTTTTTTCCTGCTACATAGTAAGCTTTTTCTCTTAACTTTTTATGACTTTCTGTAAAAGTAAAGCTGAAGTTAATTCTGATTATATCTTCCCTTTTCTAGTTCATTTCTTTGCCTTCCTCAACAACATATTTTTTTTTTAAATCAGATAGTTTTTATTAAGAATTTTTGTCATCAAAAATTTTTTAAATACAACCATTTTTCAATTTTCTTGACATACCTTATTTTAGACTCAGTGATGTCATGCCAGGGTCCCTGTACTTATCAATGCAATGCAGGCAGATCATAACTGGAGGGAGCCCTGACAACATCATGGCACCAAAACGCGTGGTATAGCCATGCCCTGCGTTCCGGTGAGACCGCAAAAAATAGTGTGTGCACTATTTTTTACGTTCGCACCGCACCAGAAAGCAGGGCATTGCTGTACCACATGTTCTGGTGAGGGCGAAAGGACTGTCAGATGTTGGATTGGCTGAGTCGAAGTCCCTCTGTACTTCGGCACAGCCAAACACGCCGCCTGAGAACATGCATACATGATGATGCATGTTTTGACTGGTAGCTTAAGAAACATTGTGGTCGGTAGATGAATGTGTATACAAACGTGCAGGAACGCTTCTGCCGTGCATTTCCTGCTGTTTCCATTGAAGTCCATGGGGGAACAATGAGCTTGAAACTGCCAAAAGAAGCTCATGTAGTTTTCCTTCTGGCATTTTGCTGCTCAGGTGTGAACAGAGGTTATTGAAAATCATGGGATTTCTTGTGTTTAAAGACACTTTTCCTACTGCTCAAAAACACCTAGGTGTGAACCAGGCCTTAGTGTTCAGGGCTCCACCCAAGATTGCTGTTTTAACACCTCTCTCTGGGCAGGCTAATAACACCTCCTAGTTCCAATTATGCAAATACAATCAACACCTGGTTGCCACTAATAGATTATGTGGATTGGAGCAACATTCACCATATTTATTCCCAGAGAATGTTTGTATAAGTCATTGTGAATTGAGAAAGCTGGTTGGATTCTCTTCAAGAAAAATAGAGCAAGTGCAGTTGCCTTGACTTATTTTTTACAGATGCTCCACTCAAGAGTTTCCATGGAGGCCAGTGCAGCAAGGAGCTGCAAGCTGTGTACCGAGAGTGTTGGTCAGTATAGTGTTCGAGTACTGTCTGGAGGAGAAACAGACAAGGGTCTGAGGACTGAGGCCAGAGAAGTGGCGCTGCAGGAGGCTGAATGTATGTTCTTTTATGTAGAGAGAGTTGAACAGCCCCTATGAGGGCAACTACATTATTGTTTGGGAACTTTCTGTTAATAGAATTGGGCAAGGAAGCCTTAAAAAAGAAGATTAAAACAAGTGGATGTGTACTTAATGTTCTACTATTTGAAGCTAGTTATCACAATGCATAATTCATGTCCAATCTATTAAATAGATTATTTAAACTGCAATCTACTAAATAAAATGCAAGCTAAATATGCATGGTATTACTTGTAAAATTTCCCATGTTTTTTTATACTTCTTATAATAACAACAAAAATAGAAGCATTGCTATTTTTATAACTAGCAAATGCCAAGTTCTCAGAAAATGCCAGTGTGTAGCTGTCAGTGTTCAGATATCAGAAAGCAATGGTCATATCAAAGCAGAGTCTAGCCTTCTTTTCCTTCATTTTTAAATTCAAATTTTTGCAAGTGTTACATCTCAGGCAAAGCAACACAGGAACTGTGCAGTCTTTTACATACAAAATAACTAAACAGAGTAAGGACAGCATTTGAAGATAAGAAGCTCTTAACAAAGAAAACAATTGCAAGCCAGCACTGTTCAGGAAATTCTGTTCTTTGGCGAAGAATAGGATCTACGACAACACAGGATGCATGCGGACTGTCCTATAATAAAAAGGATATACATTACTAATGTCATAACCCTTATACACCCATTTCTTAAGTGCCTTTGGATTAGTATGAGGTTCCTCAGCCTTGCCTTCAGCAGGAGAGACTCTGCCAGAAAGAGAACAAGAGGGGAGCAGAGAAGAATGTTGATCTTTATTGCAGGACTTCTGCTTTTGACTTATTTACCGGTTTCCAATGGAGGGTATGATGAAAAGCAAGGGGCAGCTTTTTGTTCAGGCAATGCATGCTACACTGTCCACCTAAGCAAGGCAAAGTTTTCTGAAGCACATAACAACTGCGCCAACAGAGGAGGTTACTTGGTGACAATAAAGAGTGAAAAAGAAGCTGAACTGGTACACACTATCCTTTTGGAACTTACAAAAAACCCTCAATTTACTCAATCTTTAAACCTCTGGATTGGACTTAAGTTAAAGCAATGTGTTATTAAACATGATTTGCTCAAGGGATTCTTCTGGACCACAGGTGATGAGAACGCAGAAAAAAGCCAATTTTCTAACTGGATGAGTGATCCAAAGTCAACATGCACCAAAGAAATGTGTGTGAGTATGAAATTACACACAAACCCCCTTGATAACTTCAAGTGGGTTGACAGCCTGTGTTCAGCACTGTTTGATGGCTATATCTGCAAGTTTGACTTTCAGGGAATGTGCCAGCCTTTAGTACTAGCTGGACCTGGAATAGTTAATTATGAAACCTCATTTAGTTTCAAAAGTGCTTCTTTGAATTTATTGCCATATGCCTCCTTTGGTTATGTGTCTTGTGGTCACCAAAAGAATGGTAATGTTTACAATTTAATGTGCAAGGACATGGAAGAGAGCGGGACTACTGTGTATCAGTGGGTTGATCCTCGTTCAAATAAATATCTTGGAGCTTTGTGCGTTTCTGAGGAGCATGGCTGTAACTATAATAATGGAGGATGTCAACATAAATGTACTACAAATTCAGAGAAAGGATCGATCTTATGTGAATGCAATGATGGATATGTGCTTGCACCTGACTTGGTGTCTTGTGTTTTACCTGACCACTGTGAGTCCCACCAGTGTGAGCACAACTGTATAAACCACCCACATGGCCATGAATGTACATGTAAATCTGGCTTTGTGCTAGCTGAAGATAAAAAAAAATGCTTAGATATCAATGAATGCTTAGAAGGTCCTTGCAACCACACCTGCAGCAATACCTATGGTAGCTTCCAGTGTCATTGTCCCCCTGGTTTGCTTGTGCGTGGCACACACTGCTTGGACATAGATGAGTGTATTTTGTCACCTTGCTCTCAGGGTTGCCTCAACACCTATGGATCTTACTTTTGCTCCTGTAGCAATGGCTATGTCCTTAGCGATGAGAAATCTTGCTTGGATGTGGATGAGTGTGTTAATTCCCCATGCGCCTACTCCTGTGAAAACATTCCTGGGAGCTACAAATGTACCTGCCAAAAAGGTTTCAAGTTATCATCAGATCGGATCTCCTGTATTCCAGAACTTCAGAATGCACACATACCTCCCTCTGGCCATGAAGATAAAGATTCAGGAACACAGAACAGGGAAACTACCAGCAACGGCCAAAGAGATATGACAAACCAACCTACCCCAACTTCAGTGTTTCAAGCTACATTTACAGAGAAAGAAGATAAAAGACAGATGATATTGTCCACTCCAGCGTCCAGTGAAAGCGGCAGCTATCCTAACAATAGTTCTGTAAATCAGGTAATAAGTGATCGTCAGGATGGGTATAGTATAGTGTTACTAGTCAGTATCTTATCTGCCTGTGGTGTTGTCTTGGTACTCCTGATTGTTGCTGGAGGGTTCCTGTGCTACCGCAGAAGGAATACAAAGAAAAAAGAGACTGAGAAGCAGTCCAGTGCAACAGATAAGTATTGCTGGGTTCCAGAATCTGAGGATAAAGCAAACAAGGACTTCAGGTGACCTGGCATTCCTTACATGAGCCTATAATCCTATTTTTAATTCACGGCAGTGTTTAATTTTTTCCTAATAGCTTCAATGTTAGTATTACAAATCTATATCATACATGCATGGACATATGTAGTTCAAACTGTGTTCTTTATTTTTAAATCTGCCTTGATTTTTTTTTTTTTAACTGTAACAAGCTATTGGCTGCATTCAGTAACCTATAACTGCTATAATTATTTATTGTCTCAGCCATGTGACTGTTATTTTAAAGAGGAACTATGGGCAAAATAAAGAATGCCCTATATCATGCAATCTTTGGGTTGTAACCATTAACACATTGTTATTTTTTCATAATTTTCACTGTAACATACAGCGCTATTCACAAAAGGGTGAAGAGTTTGGAGAAGGCAGGAGAAGTGAACAATCTAGGACAACATAGCTGAACTGGAAAGTGATCTGAATTGCATTTTTTTTCCAAATCCACTACTTTGACCTAGATTATTAACTTCTCCTGCCATCTTCAAAATCTTCACCCTTTTGTGAATAGCCCTGATAGTTTTGTTGCTAGTTGATTCTGTCAATGGATCCATTATTTTCTTACTTTCTTTAGACTGAAAAAAAAAGAAAAATGTTAGACGGCATTGTATATATAAGACTGCCCATAGCTCCACTTTAGGCTCTTATTGGCTCCTATTGCTAAAAATGCAAGTTATGATGGCAAATAATGAATTCAGCCTTATGGCAGTTACTGGGGTGTTTGTAATCTTGCTTGTCACCACTCCAATTTAGTACTTTGAAATCTTACCTTAAAGAGACAATGCCTCCTTGTCAATTAAATACAAAATTACAGTGTATGTGTAGAAGCTCCACTCCGACGTACTGATGCCAACCTTGCCACCAATCCCACACCACTGCCAGTACAAAATATATTTTGCTTCCGGGTATGCGGGAGCATTCAACCTTCTCCCATGTGACAGTTCTTAGGTCTAGTGGCCAATTACAAGGCCCAGCACTATCACATGACGGAGAGAGTGACCACACCACTCCCCCTAGAGTCCAAAACCATTCAAAACTGGGGATTCAGGTGCCGGCTGCAACAGAAGATGGAGCTGTGAGGGAGCACTGGCAAGGTGAGTATCTCCTTTACACAGACACTGTCACTTAGCCCTGAATTAGCAATGTGACAGCATCTCTTTCAAAAAGCATTAGCAACAGTTAACAGCCCTAAGCTATATCAAAATCATTATGGACGCCCCCAATAAAGCAAAGCTGTCTTGAATATTATAATAATTAATTGGATTTCATGGCAGACAGAGGTGCCTACATATAGCTTTAGTAATTTTTAGTACACATATTAATGTCTTAAACATCGGCATTTTGGGAACCCTCTCCTGCCTCTCCGCTGGTCCTTAGAAGTGATGGACAGTTTTACTGAGCAGCGATGAGGTGATGGAGGCAAAAAGGGGCCATAGATTTACAAAACAGGACTCCAGTGGTGGGGATCCCATGAAAACTCTTCAAAATAGCTGTTAATAGTAATAAATAGAAAGCTACGCTACGTGTAGACGCCTCTAGCTGCCTGAATTCATTGTCTGATGGCAGGTTACCTTCTTCAACTTTACTACAGTTATACTTTAACGACTCTAAACTGAGCCATTACTAGGCAGTAATAGCCAACGCATAGTAACACTTGCTTCCATTTAATCTCCTAAAGGTTTCCTGAACTCTTTTAGCATGCTTTTTCTGCAGAATTATTAACAAGGCTTTTGTTTTGTGGAGTAATCATGGGCTCCACAGCACTTGCATGGTCTGTTGTGTATAGATTCAAAGCTGAAATCCAGGCAAAAATCTAAGTACACAGATGACATACATGTACACAAGCTGTTTTACGTGCTAAAGGAGTTGTGTTTCTGTCCATCCAGTTCTGAGATTTATACACTTCACAACCCTGTCTGGTAGGGAGAAACAACTTAGTTTTCTCTGCTACAGTTCAGTAACACTTAAAGGTGCCTGTGCCCTTCCTGTGACTGGACAGTGAAATTAGAAGCAGCACACTAATGAGCACATATTTCGGTCCCTCTGCTGTCTCACCCTTTTAGCATGCTCCTTGCACTGCACCACAGCTGATTAGCTCTTTGGAGTACTTTTCTCTCCCCCAATCTGAGCTTTGCTGTACAGAGACTGCAAGAGGCTGATATCAGGTCCAATCCAGGTAGTTACACTGCTTGCTTCAGAAAATATACTTTTAACGATGGATCAATGAACACAGGGCTCCATTATTTTGTGTCTTTTATATGTGCCTAGAGTTCAGCTTTAAAGCCATGTTTTTAAATAGAGTGGGTGAGGGTAAGAAACTCTGTCAAGGTTTTCTTGCTATCTTTGTGTCAGTTTTCTTTTTATTCTCTCAGCTTCATATTTGACGGGTGTCAGAATGGCAAATTCCCACACAGGCACCAATAAGTAAACTTTTTCTAGTAGACTAAGGAAGGTTTAGAAGCTCTGTCAGGATTTTTAATGTTGACTCGGTCCCCATCAGAGTTTACACCTTACTTCCGGCTCAGGTGACAGGCATCAGACAGAACAGGAAGAATAGAAAAATCTCCTCTATGGGGACACAGACAGCATTTAACCAGTTCAACTCTCACTCCTTATGGACCAGAGCAATTTTTACATTTCTACTTTTGTCTTTTTTAGGACACAACATGCTTTCTCTTAGCGATATAGTTTTATAAATATGATTTAATTTTTTATGCATTCCATAGACAAACATAAAAAAAAGAAAAAAATCTTTTTTTTTCATTTGTTCAGTGTTAGGTTAAAAAAATATTGTTACTGTAGATAAAAAAAGTATACATTTTATTCTATAATCTATAATAGTCTTGTTTAAAATGAAACTAACATTATGAACCTTTTACAAAGCATTGCAAAGTTAATTACAAATGAAATAAAGGTTTTTGTTTAAATGTGCGCTTTTTGAAATGAAAAAAAAAAACAGATCAAAAAGAATAAAAATGAAAAAAAAATATTATTTGTTAGAAAAGTTATATAATTTAAGTTATATCATTGGCGGACAGAGTCACCAAGGGGCCCCGCTGCTGAACCAATTTTTTGGACCCCTATTCAACTACTGTCAATGTACTGTATACAAACTCTGTGCATTGGTTCAAAGCTATTTAGAAGTAAGTTCTGTCCAGATTTACTTGACAGTGGGAGGCCCCCTTCTGACCCACATGTAGCATCAATGGGCCCCTAAGTTTAAGGGGACTCTTATTCAGCTGCATCGTCTGTCCATAGCAATATATCGTTTTTGTTAAACCTAAATGTGCAATCAATTTGTATGTGTGTGAGCAAATCCAGCCAGGTCTCAGCAAGTATACAACGATTTCAATATTTGCCAAAGTATATTTTCCCATATTTTAAGCATTGTCACACAGATATGTATGGTTTAATCTGGAGTTCTTCTTTTATCCTGCCATCTAATCCTGTATTGTTTGTTCAGTACTGTATTGTTTGTTTGGTGGAATCATGGGCAACTGCTCCAGATTCTGTCTGCTCCAGTTTTCATACATTCTTAACCATGTATCTTTCTCTGGTCAAAGTAAAACAAAATCTGGTTGCTATGGGTTACAGCATTAAGTAAATCATTATTTCACTTGGCAATGTTTTATCAGCTATGTTTAATATAAGTATCCTTGTGAAGACAATGTAATAAATTATTTGAGGAATAAAATGTAACAAAAAAAATTATTTCATTTGGTCAAATGTAGAGTGTACAGTTTTGCAGCACAGGACAAATAAAGGTATTGGTGGCTGAATTTTGTCTGATTGCTTTTGTTATAGCTACACTTTTTTCATACCACCCACCTCCCCCTCATCAAAGAACCCTTGGATCTTACAAATTAAACACCTATACCATTTTCCAGCATTCTCCGGGCTGGTCTAATAATTCCACAGGCCTGGCTCTCATTCCATTGGAATATAGGAGAAGGAGGCAGAACAGAGCGGACCTTCTGTGGAGGACAGTGCTGGATTTAAGGTGAGTATCGCAGCAAAAGCTATGTTTACTTTTTAGTTAACAGTTGGGTTTTTTTTTGTTTTTGCAGAAATTTGGAATACCCCCTCAAAGTAGTTGTAAACCCTCCAAGAGCAGTCTGTAGGAGTCAAAACCTTGCAACCACAATCTACTGATTGCAATGCTTTATTGGCTCCTATGCAAAAAAATATTAAATGCACATTTTTCTTTTATGAAGATGTCTGCATTATTTTATTCTATTTTATTTATTGCAAAAGATAGAATTTCCCCTTTAACGTGCTCTCAGGTATAACGTGCAGACACCTACACCCAAGGAAGGACAGTGTCAGCATGAATTCAGAGGATTTTTAGGATCTACAGCCAAGTGATACACAAATAAGATAAATTTTTGTTATTGGTTAGGGTATTTGAATGCATTTGTAAGATTTAACTCCTGAGTTTAGCATCACTTTAAGTTCATATGACTGTACATCACTAACGCCAAAACTGCTCTTTTTTCTTTTGTTTATATATGTGTTTTTTACTGCTGCAGTTTTCTTACAATGGTCTTGATAAAAGAAAAAAACTCTGTTCCTTCCTCTGACAGGAAAAGGTTTGGGCAGATAAGAAAACAATGCTTAGATGGAGACAGGCTGAATTCCATTTGCACTTAAAGCTAAGATGAGGCTTTCTTACTTGTGAAAGAATCCACACCCTTTCTGTTACTGTTAAGCAAAATGTAAAATGATTACCCTTATAACCACTAAATATTTTCCTTTACAATGATGTCAGTTAAAATTAAAATGTTTATATTGCATCTACCTCTCTAAAATCAAACAGAAATATATGAAGTATTGATTTTATCTTTACTGTCAACTAACAGAGAGCATGACAAGCCTTCAAGTTGGATCCATCTCTGAACTCATCTTCAGGCATATCCACAATCTCTTCTGATAAAACATACAAACACAAAATACACATTAGCAGTTGTATTTAACATTGGTGTGAACCATAACAGAATAACATTTACAGCCCTTT